GAGAGAGAGAGAGAGAGAGAGAGAGAGAGAGAGAGAGAGAGAGAGAGAACAATCTGAATAGAACATCATTCTGTTAACTTTTAGCCAAAGTCAGTCTTTAAAAAAATGTTTCTACCAAAAAACAAAACAAAACAAAACGCTGGGCCCTGGTGGCGCACACCTTTAATTCCAGCACTTGAGAGGCAGAGGCAGGCGGATTTCTGAGTTTGAGAGTTCAAGGCTAGCCTGGTCTACAGAGTGAGTTCCAGGACAGCCAGGGCTACACAGAGAAACCCTGTCTTGAAAAAAAAAAAAAAAAGTTTCTAAATATGTTTAAACGTGTCTGAGGAAGCTGTGTACACACTAAGTGCAAGAAATTGAACTCAGGACTCATGACTACAAGGCAAATCCAACTAAGCTCCAGTTTCTGTTTTTAAATCTTGAAAAACACAATTTTTTTGTCTTGGTTTCATACAAAAATCTCTATATTATATAGCTTTGGCTATCCAGGAACTTGCTATGTAGGCCAGGCTGGTCTCGAATGATCAGAGATCAATCTGTCTCTGCTTCCCAAGTGCTGAGATTAAAGGTGTGTACTGTGTGCTTAACCAAAATTTTGTTCTTTAAGTCAGCTCTTTATAATTGCTATCAAGAATAAATTGATTATTTTAGGAAAGACTATGTACTTTTAAAGATGGTAATTCAATTCAGATTTTATATCAATACATTAAATTCTGATCTTTGTTTGAAAGCCCTTTAACTTTAAAAAAATATGTATTTATTTTATTTTTTCAGTGTTTTGCCTGTGTGTGTGTGTATATATATATTCACAACATGTATGCCTAATATCTGCAGAGACAGTAGTGGATCTATAAGAGGCTATGAGCCTCTGTGTTGATACTACGACCCAAACCTCGGTGCTCTGTAAGAGCAAGTCTTAACTACTAAGTCAACTCTCCAGCCCTCCCCACACTCCCCCCACCCTGTGGTTTCTCTGTTGTTTGTTTTGAGATTGTTCCTGTGCTACACAGTTGGGCTATAACTCACTGCAGCTGAGGATGACTCTGAACCTTTAATCTTCCCACTTTCACCTCTGGAGTGCTGGGATTCTAGGCGAGCAAGGAACCCTGGGCTGTGTCTAGTCAAAGTAAGCACTCTCAACTGAGCTATATTCGTAGGCTCCATCCAGTACTAGGCTCAGATATTTACATCTCTCAGGAAGCCTGCCTGGTTTTCTCAACTGTCCTAACTGCCTCACTTGAGCACAGAAAACAGACTTCAGAGCTCTTAGTGTAAGGCAAGATTTCAAAGAGCAAGCTAAGTTGGAGCCAACATCTTGAAAAATGGTTAAGAAAACCAGTGGACCTATTGTGAGAATAGGAAGGCCATTCTAAGGCCAAGTGGTTTGTCACCAGAGTGTAGGCTGGACAAGCATTAAGATTTGGGAACAGAGCGGGCTGGAGATGGCTCAGTGGTTAGGAGCACTGACTGCTCCTCCAGAGGTCCTGAGTTCAATTCCCAGCAACCACATGGTGGCTCACAAACCACCTGTAATGGGATACAATGCCCTCTTCTGGTGTCTGAAGACAGCTACCTCTGGAAAAACAGTGCTCTTAATCACTGAGCCATCTCTCCAACCTTGGTTTTGTTTTCTCTATGTAGCTCTGGGCGTTCTGAGACCAGACTATCTTCAAACTTACAGAAATTCACCAGCCTCTCTGACTTCCAAGTGCTAGAATTAAAGGCAAAAAACATCATGCCTAGAACCCCAGTAAGTTTTAATTCTGGCATGGTGATACATGCCTCATCCCAGGACTTTGGAATTGGATTTGAGAGGCTCTGGAGTTCAAGAACAACTTGGGCTACATGAGAGCCTGCCTCAAAAGAGCAAAACAACAACAAACAAAAGATCTGGTTTATTAAACTCAACTATGCAGAAGCAGGAGGCACCTGGGGAAGACCTCAGGACCACCTGAGTGGGAAGTCAAGGGTGCTTACCTGCTGGTGATTAGGAAAATGTTCCATGGCCTTGAGCAGCAAATGGGTCACATCAGCGAGGAGCCGGACAGGCATGCCTAAAGCAAGATCCTGTTTAGTTAAGTTGAACACACAGGCACTTGCAGCCAGCTGCACAGGCAAATTCATAGGATGGTTTCTCATCCCAGTAACCACAAGCTGAAAAAACAAAAAGACAATTAGTCCTTTTGATTCACCTCATAAACACAAACCCTCATCGTAGAATGGGGCTGCTTTGTTGTTGCTCTACAGTAACTTCAAAAGCATGGTTGTATGTAAAGAGCCTAGGACACTATCACTCTCAATTCCCAGTCCCTTCCTTGACAGTGCTGCCAGTTAGAAGCAATAAAACTGATCCTCTCCCTAACTAGAAAACTATTGTCTTCTTTCCCCTCTAAAGCCTTCCCCATTCTTCAGTTCAGCTAAAAGCTAAGCTTTCTTTAAAATTTATTTTATAGCTGGGCAGTGGTGAGGGATGTCCTCTTTACTACCGACACTCAAGAAGCAGAGGCAGGCTGATCTCTGTGAGCACAAGACAAGATTAGTCTACAGACTGAGTTCTAGGACAGCCAGGGCTACGCAGGGAAGCCACTTCTCTAAAACAAACAAACAAACCCCAGATTTTGTGCTTGTTTATTTGTGTGTGTGTGTGTGTGCCCACAGAGGCCAGGAGAGGGTACTGGACCCCTTGGAACTTAAGTTACAGGCAATTGTGAGTCACTGGTAAATGCTCTTCATTAGTCACTGAGCCCTCTCTCCAGCCCTGGAAAACCCAGCTTTCAACCACACTAAGAAAACTGAACTAACCAGACAAGAACTTCAGATTCCTGCCCACTCATAAATGATCTTTTGTAATCCTCTCTACAGTTGATTTCTCCACGGATATACCGGATCATTTCCTTGTCTGTCTACTCAAGAAAATGATTACTTCTATGTCATTTTTAAAATCCTAGATTGGAAAGATCAGCATACTTAAAACACAACTCTACCTATTTTTTAAAAGGGGGTGGAGGTGGGGAACGAGGCTGCACTTCCAGCACTGAGCAGTCTGAGGCAGGAGAATTGTTAAGTTTGAGGCCAAGCTGAATGACAGAAAAATCCAGTCTAAAAAACCCCAAAACTGTCCCTTAATTATAATTATTTCCTTAATCAACTGCCATTTTTCCTCCTAGGTTTCTTTTACAGCAAAATTTCTATGAATGAATTTTAATCTTTAATCTCTAAATAAATGAGTGGGTATTTCAAGTCAGGGCTGGAGGTTTAGTCCTTTGTGCTCAGTTTTATAAAAAATAAAGCTGGAGCTGATTTTGTTTTGTTTTGTTTTTTGTTTGTTTTTTGTTGTTTTTTTCGAGACAGGGTTTCTCTGTGTAGCCCTGGCTGTCCTGCAACTCACTCTGTAGACCAGGCTGGCCTCGAACTCAGAAATCTGCCTGCCTCTGCCTCCCAAGTGCTGGGATTAAAGGCGTGTGCCACCACTGCCTGGCGCTGAAATTGATTTAATCCCAGTTTTTAGTCCCAGCACTCAGGAGGCAGAGGCAGGTGGATCTCTGAAAGGGGAAGGGGAAGAGAGAGGGGAAGAGGGAGGGAGAGGGGGAAGAAGGAGAGGGGAAGGAAGGGATAAAAAAAGACAAAGCAAGCAGCAGATTCTTCTGGTTTGGAGTGACAGGTATTAATGACAAAAATAAAATGTTACTAACTGAGCACTCCATTGGGAAATTTAAGATATTCAGGAGATCAAATCAGTTCTGGCTCTGCCACTGACTTATTGTTTCTTAATCTCATAGGCCCTCAGTTTCACAGTCTGTAAAACGGAAGATAAAATCCACCTCTTCGATAGTGGCCACTAAATGAAATACAAAATAAAGCCTTACACTCACTAGATTTCAAAACTGAATCTACTTAAGATATATAGAAAAGATAGATATCGATCCCTGAGACCCATGTAGCCTTATCAAACCTTATCAAATCTAAATTTCTTGTGTTCATAAATATGTTGGTTACTATTACTTATGAATATTTGTGCTAGAGATCAACACGAGTGTTTTCTACCACTAAGCTATACATAGGGCACAGCAACTATGCTTTTCTAACCACTCAACCGTTTCTTTCTTGCGATAGGGTCTCACTACATAGCCCTGGCCAGCCTAGAATTCAATTTGTAGACCAAGATTGATTGGCATCAAACTCAAAGCGATCTGCTTGCCTCTGCCTCACAAGTGCCAGGGTTAATGGCAAACACCCACACCTAACTTTAAAGTTTTATGAAGACAAGGACTCCTCACTTTTCTTTTTAAATTTTGGGCTTATTTTACTCTTGTGTGTATGGATGTTTACCCTGCGCGCGCGCGCGCGTGTGCGTGTGCGCGTGTGTGTGCATATGTATATGCAGCACATGAATGCGTGCATGTCGGATCCCCTGGAACTAGAGTTACGGATGGCTGTGAGCGATCATGTGGGAATCGTGCTGGGAGTCTGCAAGAGCAGCAAATTCTCCTAACTGCTGAGCCTCTCCCCAGCCCCAAAGCTCTCCTTATGAAGCCTAGGTTGTTCTCACACTTCTTATGTAGCTCACTTGGGGTCTAACTGGTAATCCTTCTGCCTCAGCCTCCTGAAGTTACAGCTTGACACTCCCATGTTCATCTGAAAATACCTGTGTGTGGGGGGGTGGGTGCTGTGTATATGTGTAGGTGTGTTGTTTGTGTGTATGTGTAGGTGGTGTGTATGTGTGTGTGGTACGTGGCTGTAAGTGTGTGGGTGGATGCTATATGTTCGAATGTACAGTTGTGTTGTGGATCTGTAGCTGTATTATGTGTGTGGATGTGTGTTGTGTATGTGGTAGATGTGTTGTGTGTGTATGGATGTGGTGTGTTGTGGGATGGGTATACTGTGGGGGGTAGAGATGGAGTGTGTGTGTGTGTGTGTGTGTGTGTACCTAGACATCAGAGTACAACTAACTTTTGGCAGCCAGTTCTCTCCTTCTACCATGTTGAGTTCTGGGGACTAAACTCAGTTCCTCAGGCTTAGCAGCAAGCTCCTTTACCTGCAGAGCCAGCTCACTGCTCCCCCCACAACACTCCTGTTTTTGTGTCACACTAAGGATTGAGCCCAGGACAACTCATATACAAGGCAGGACTGTTAACAGTGGGTTACATAGCCAGATCTACACTAATGGAACTTTTTTTTTTGAGACAAGGTCTCACTATGTAGCTCTGGTTGACCTAAAATTCACTATGAAGACTAGGGTGGCCCCAATTTGCCAACTTCTGCTTCCTGAGTGCTGGGATCAAAGTGTATGTGCTGTACCTAGCTTAATGAATATTTTTCCCTTAACAAGGTCTCACATAGCAGAGTCTTTCTTTCAACTTACTCTATAGTCAAGGATGCCCTTGAACTTCTGATTCTCCTTGTCCCCATCTCCCAAGTCCTGGAACTACAGGCATGTGCCACTATGCCCAGTTTATGCAGTGTTAGGGATTAAAACTATGGTGTCATGCATTGTAGGCAAGACTCTACCAGTTGAGCTACATTTATTTTGGGGATGTGTGTAGTATGTGTGTGAGTGGTGTATGTGCATATGTGTGAAGATATGGAGACTAGTGGACATCACTGGTTGCCCCACTGTGTCACATCCCACCTTATGGACCTACTCTGGTGCCAGCAAGCCTTAGTACTCTCCTGTCCCCACCTGCCCCAGCACAGGAGTTACAGGCATACGAAAACAAACGGCTGTTTAATGCGGTGCTACGATATAATCTCGGATCTTCATGCTTGTCCAGTAAATGCTCTTTCCCAATGAGCCGTCTCCCTAGCTGCCCTACCTTACAGAGTTTTAGTATTGTATCTGTAAAGCTCTTCTGAGTGGGAAGCTATCCAAGGCTGGCACACAGAGCAGTACACTGAGCCCATCCTATACTTCTCCATGTTCTTGTAATAAAACATCATAGGGGATACTACTGGTCTGAAATAATTACATAGCATTGGAAAGCATTACTTAGAGAGACTATTATAAACTTCAGTAATGATATGCAATTAACTTCTTATTTATAACTAATAACTGGAACTGGGATCATCAATCCTATTAAAAACAAAAAAAGAAACAAAAGTCAAAGACTAAATGCATAAAATCTACTAGAAAAGTAATTTCAAATTTTTTCATCACCAGTTTCTTTTTCTTACCTTTAAAATGTCTGGCTTCGTTTTTTCCATCACATGAGTCAGGCTAAAAAGATGAAACAAAGCCTCCCGGACAAAAAATGCCCGTTCACTGTACCGCCTTAACGCTTCTGCAATTTGGGTTTCATTGGCTTCTCCAGACACCTGTGGACATAGCCAAAAGATGAGTGTTTAGACTTCTTCTCACCCTCTACCTCTCCCCATCTTAGCATCAGCAGTAAATGACATTCAACATAAGCAAGTAAGGCAAGAAACAAGCGGGAATGGTTACTTCCTAACCCACCCACAGCCATCATGCTTCAGAGACGCAGACTGGACTGAGAGCCCAGCACAAGCCTGTGGGTAATATTTTCTGCACAGCCTAGAATAAATCTCAAGACATTTAACACTGCTAAGCCTTACTGTCTCAGCTTTTAGGCTGCCTCTTGGGGTAAATTCTTTCCCTTAAATCGAAAACACTGTCGGCACTGTTGGCCTTTCCCCTGATCCTTCAATAAGCCAAGCTCTATCTCAGCAGAAGACCATCACACACAACGACCACTCTAAAATGTTCTCTCTTTGCTTCACTAATTTGCATTTATACTTCCTAAGTCAAGTCAAACCCATCTTTAGAGAAAGCCTTTCCTGACAGACACATCAATCTAAATCAGGTTCCCCCAAATCTCTTTTTCCTAGTTTTGATGATCCTCCACTTACTGACCTATGTGGTGTAGTGTGGTGGCCACTCACTGCAGGCCAACAGTGACAGCAGAACACTTAGCACACATTCATCAAATAGATCTGTTAATTTCCCCAGATCTATCGAATTCCCTAGGAGGGTTTATTCAAAATTAAATCTAACTTAATTTACACAGGTTAATATAATTATGTTAAACTATGGTTCAGGGACCACCGTGCAACCAAACACAGATAATGAGAAGTGACTACAAAGTAATCAAACTAGCAAGTGAAAAGAAAATATTTAAGGTATATGGCTGGTGAGATGGCTCAGTGGGTGAAGATGCTTGCCAGACGTATCTGGTGACCTGAGTTTGATCCCTGACACTCAAGTAAAGATTGTAGGGGAGAGTCTTTTGACAAAGGTGTTCTCTGACACCTACACCCTTTCCAGGGTACATGCATATACACATACATCATGCATGTACAGACACACATACAATAACCAAGACATCATAATGATCTCCAATGAATGACCAGATCTAGGTACTGTATAATCCCCAGTGAATTAGTAATCTGATTCTGAATATCAATAACATGATTTTACAGGAATGTAAAACTAGACATTATGTATAGCCCAGTCAAAGAATACAACATGTAAGGGTCTTGCCAAAAATTTAATTAAACTCCAAACCTAGCCAGTAATTTGTACAAATATAGGAATGGTGGCTCACAAGTGAATCTCAACATTTAGGAGGTTGAGGCAGTAGAATCCTAATTTCAAGACCAGCTTGGACTACAAAGTAAGTTCCAGGCCAGTGTGAGATACAGCAATACCCTACTTATTCCATCTCCTAACCCCCCACTCCCTCCAAAAAGAAATATAGACTACAGGTGTAACAAAAAAGAAAGAAAGAAAGAAAGAAAGAAAGAAAGAAAGAAAGAAAGAAAGAAAGAAAGAGAAAGAGAGAGAGAAAGAGAGAGAGAAAGAGAGAAAGAAAGAAAAGAAAAGAAGAAGAAAACCACCTGAAATCCATTCCTGGGACACACATAGAAGAACAGACTCTTTTCCTATGATCTTCACATGTAAACTATGGCATATACATATAAATGTAATAATTTCTTAATTAGAAAGAAAGAAAGAAAGAAAGAAAGAAAGAAAGAGAGAGAGAGAGAGAGAGAGAGAGAAAGGAAGGAAGGAAGGAAGGAAGGAAGGAAGGAAGGAAGGGAGAAAGGAAGGAAGAAAAGAAAAGAAAGAGAGGGTTGGCTAGGCAGTGGTGGCTCATGCCTTTAATTCCAGAAGCAGAGGCATGAGGATCGCTGTGAGTTAAAGGCCAGCCTGGTCTACAGAGCAAAATCCAAGACAGCCAAAAGCTATACAAAGAAACCATCTTGACCCCCTGCCCCCACAAAAAAGGAAGGAAGGGAGGGGAGAAGGGAGGGAGAGAGGGAGCCAGGAAAAGAGCGAAAGAGGGTTGCTCTGTGTGGGACATGCCTTTAAGCCCAGTAACAAGGAGGGTGGAAGATCACTGAGTCCCCTGGATCACGGAGTTCCAGGTGAGTCAGGAACCACAGTGATACTCTGTCTCAAAAAAAATCGGGGGGGTGGGGGGCTGTGGAGTGAGTACAATGTCATATACCTTTAATTCTAGCATATGGGAGGTAAGTGGACCTCTGAGTTTGAGGCCAGCCAGGGCTACCTAGTGAGATCCTGACTCAAAGGAAAAAAAGGGAACAGAGCTGGGAGATGGCTTAGTGGTTTTGAGGAGTTGGTTTGTAGGGTACCTGAGTTTGATTCCCAGCACCACACATAAGATTTAAAGATCTAAAAAAAAAAAAGAAAGGGAAGAGAAAGGGGAACCTATAAACTACAAGATGCTGCAAAGACACCCCAGCAGCAGGGTGCCCAGCTGCCTTGGAGGTTCAGAGAGCTAGCTTATTGCTCTTGTAGAGGATTGGAGTTTGATTCCCATCACCCACTCACACTGAGCAGCTCACGAGCTCCACGGGAAATCCAGAGCCTTTAGCTTTCACAGTCAGTGTCTGTCTGTCTGTCTGTCTGTCTGTCTATCTGTCTGACTATCTGTGTGTGTGTGTGTGTCTCTCTCTCTTCCTCACACACACTCACACACACCAGTATTCTTTTGTTTTTGTTTTTTTGAGATAGAATTTCCCTGTTTCTCTGTGTAGCCCTGGATATCCTGAAACTTACTTTGTAGACCAGGCTCACCTCAAACTCAAGGATCTGCCTGCCTCTGCCTCCCAAGTTCAGAGATTAAAGGTACATGTCTTGCCACTGGGCCCCACCTAATATAAATCTTTAAAAAGACACTCCTAAAGAAATGTTTTTACCTTTACTTATTGAAGGTATGTGTGGCTCATGTTTGGAGAATAGAGGACAATTTGCAGGAGTCTAATGAACTCTACACACATGCAGAAGCATGCACATCTCTCCCAAATGAATACATAAATGTAATCAAAGTCAAGACATTAAAAAGCATGCAAAATAAAGTACAGTACGCAGAACTAAAGTAAAGGAATGATGGCTTCTCAGACTTTTCAGTAAGGTTAATTATAGAAACAAAATAAAACACAAATTATCAGGACTATAGCATGGAAGGCTTCAACAGCAGAAGCCTTAAAAAATGAGGGAAATCACAGCAAAAGAAAACAAAAAGCAATAGAACAAGGAAGATAAAATAAAACAAGGCCAGTGTGATATCTAGAAGCTAAGAAGAGTATTCCAAGGAAGAAAGCAACAGCAACTGTGTCCAGTACCTCTAGGATGAAGTCTGAGAATTAACACTGGACTAAGTAGATTTCCAGGAATTCTTAAGAATTCAGAGCAACAGCCTGCTTGGTAGAGCGAGCAGCAGGAGCGAGGTAGCCAGCTAGCAGAAGGACTGGACTTGGGAAGTGCAAGGCTGAGGAGACTGATGGTGACAAGACCACAGGAGGAACTCTCAAACCTGCTGTGGGGCTGAGACCAAGGAAAAGCCGCACCAAGACCTGTTCAACAGAGGTCAGAGTGCAGTGGGAAGGATAGGAGCTTTCGATTCTAACAGTTGTGAGGCATAGGGCAGGTACTAAGATGATCTGCTTGTGACCCTTAAGACAAACCACTTCTGAGGCTGGGGAGATGGCTCTGCTGTTAAGAACCCTGGCTATTCTTCAAGAGAGGATTTGAGTTCAACTCCCAACACCCACATGACAGCTCACAACTGTATGGAATTCCAGTCCCAAGGGATCTGATGCCATGCCCTCTTCAGGCACACAAATGGTACACATACATCCAAGCAAAACATTTGCACATACAAAATCAACTAAAATAAAGAGAACCTCTTTTGGGACAGGTTATAGTGGCACACACCTTTAATCCCAGCACTCTAGAGGTAAAGGCAGAAGGATCACTTTGAATTCAAGTCAGCCTCCTGCACAGGCAGGGTTCCATCCCAGGCAGTGATGAGACCCAATCTTTAAAAAAGAAAGAGGAAGGAAGGAAGGAAGGAAGGAAGGAAGGAAGGAAGGAAGGAAGGAAGGAAGGAAGGAAGGAAGGAAGGAATACCATTTTTTCTTCTTTTTTTAATGCATTGGTGTTATCCTTGCAATGTCTGTGTGAGGGTTGGATCCCCAGGAACTAGAACTACAGTCAGTTGTGAGCTGCCATTTGACTACTGGGAATTGAACCTAAGTCCTCTAGAAGAGTAGACAGTACTCTAAACTGCTGAACCATCTCTGCAGCCCCCAACCATTTTCTTAAATTAGGTATGGTGGCTCACATCTGTAATCCCAGCACTCAGGAATCTGAGGCCAGAGGACTATGGAGACACCAAAGCAAGTAGTGCTTATGAAAGTATAATAGAAGCCGGGCGGTGGTGGCGCACGCCTTTAATCCCAGCACTTGGGAGGCAGAGGCAGGCGGATTTCTGAGTTCGAGGCCAGCCTGGTCTACAGAGTAAGTTCCAGGACAGCCAGGACTACACAAAGAAATCTTGTCTCGAAAAACCAAAAAAAAAAAAAAGAAAATATAATAGAAACCTGCCCCACATAAATACTGGGAAATTATATTAGCTGTTTTTGCATCTAATATTGTGGCCTTATGAACAAGCACATAAAGCCTAAAACTAAACCTAAACTAATCACAACACAATACTGAGATAACCATTTCAGACACCATTTTTACCAAATTACACTAAACTGAATAATTCTAACAAAAGAGACAGGCAATCTCAGCATGCTTCCTTCGACCTGAGCTGTCAAATCAGAGGTCAAAGAAATATCAACCTTTATACATATTTGAATTAAAAAGTTTTTTGGCTTTTTTGGTTTTTCAAGACACGGTTTCTCTGTGTAGCCCTGGCTGTCCTGGAACTCACTCTGTAGACCAGGCTGGCCTTGAACTCAGAAATCCGCCTGCCTCTGCCTCCCAAGTGCTGGGATTAAAGGCGTACGCCACCAGCGCCTGGCAAGTTAAAAAGTTCTAATGGTCCTTCCTTGTTTGTTTTGAGACAGGTCTTCATGACGTAGACTTGACTACCTGGTCCTTGCTATACAGCCTAGGTTGGCATCAAACCCTCCTGTCTCAGTCTTCTATGCTATGAAGACTCCATGCCTAGATCACTTTTTAAAATACATATTACTTACTTATTTATGTGTATGGTTTTGTCTGCATGTATGTCTGTTCACTCCATGTGTGCCTAGTGCCTGTGAATACTAGAAGGCAGGCATCAGATCCCCTGGGACTAGTTACCCATGGTTGTGAGCTACCATGTGGGTGTGCTGGGGGTTGAACCCAGGACCAGTCCTCTGGAAGTACAGCCAACACTCTTAACTGCTGAACCATATATCTTTCCAACCCAAATATTATTATCATCATTACTATTAATATTATTTGAGAGAGGGTCTCACTGTGTGGCGCTGGGTGACCTGAAGCTCGCTATCTATACCGGGCTATGTACACACAGAAATTTATCTTCGTCTGCCTCCGTGAGTGCTTGGATTAAAAGCATTCACCATGCTTGGTCCCACAGGGCTTTTATTGGTATTATTATCCTAATGCAAGCCTTTCTGCTATACAATCATTTCCATACGTTGTATTATAGTGTTTCATATATTACACATTGACCCTAATGCAGTCTTGAGGAACTAAAAAAAAAAGTCAAACAAAATATAATTTAAAATCTAACCTTTAAGTGTCCCTTGCCCGTAAGGAATTCAGAGTAGCCAGCATCTGTGGCCAGCAAACCTACAAACTGCATGCCAGGCCGCTGCTGTATAAAGGCTTCGACAGCTTTGTCTGTCACATGCTTTCTCCCTGAAACATCCAGGGAGACAAGATTGGGCAAGATGTCCTTTTGCTCTAATAGTCGAAGGGCTATGTCTGATGTGAACTGTTTATCATCTGAGATGTCAAGATGATTCAGATGCTTTAGTTCACGCACAACATCCAGGATCTGGGTAGTAGTCATTTTTAAACATTTTAGATGATGCATGGTGAGAGACTTGAGTCTGTCTTTGCAGGCCAACAGGGCAGTGATATCTGTGATTGAGGTGTTAGAAATGTCCAGGCTCTCGAGTCTAGGCAACGAAGCCACTTCAGCCAGATCTTCATTGTAAAAGAGCACATTAGTGATGCTCAGAGCTCGAAGACCAGAAAGCCGGCTGAAGCACCGCTCATACGGATCCTCAAGGGACAGAGTTAATGAGTTTAATACTAAGCACTGAAGATTTTGCTGGATCCACTTGTTACTGCCAAGGCCACTTATGATGTCTGTGATAGTGATGTCAGCATTCACACCCGTGGCATCAAGTTCTACTAGCTTGTGGTGGCAAAAGGCTTTCCGGAAAGCAACAGCTGAAATCTTTGCTTTGCGAATGCAAGCTCTCTTTAGGCGCATCTGGTTACCTCTGAAAATTCCCACAGTTCCATCATTCAGGAGACCTGGGGAGAAATAAGCAGCATTTTAACTTTAAAAAAAAAAATAGACCAGAGAAAATTCCATCACACACTAACCATGCAGCCAGCCATATTTTACTTGTTTGATACAATTTGGTGAGATGAAGATATTATTGCCTAGACTAAGACTCAAAAGAAAACTTTCCAAGATGGAACTAGTAACAGAATCAGAACGGACAGCCATTGTGGATACTCACCTACTAGATACACAGGCAGCCATACTTCCCAGCACTTCCTTACAATCAGATAGGACCATGCGCCAGTTACAGCTAAGGGGCTGTAGGCTTAGGCACCTGAGAGCCAACTGTGATTCCCCATGCTCTCTTCTCCTTCTGTGACAAGTTCTAGAAATGTGGTATTATGAGGGCTGGTCTCCATCAATCTGGACACCAAAGTGACCATAGAAGAGAATCCTCAACAGACTTTGCACAGTTTATGCAAAGTGAGGTTTAAACTTTACACTAATATATTGATACCAATATATTTCTAATTTAAGTTCACAATACAGTATTACATATATAAACATATTTAGACACACAATATATAGTTAGTAGATATAATAGCTAGAATTCATTATTAAACCACTAGCCACACACCTTTAATCCCAGCACCCAGAAGGCAGAGACATGCAGATCTCTGTGAGTTCAAGGCCAGCCTTACCTACACAGCCAGCTCCAGGACAGCCAGAACTACATAGAGAGCCTGTGTCAATAAATAAACAGCAAGCCGGGCGGTGGTGGCGCATGCCTTTAATCCCAGCATTTGGGAGGCAGAGGCAGGTGGATTTCTGAGTTTGAGAGTTTGAGGCTAACCTGACTGAGGTCTACAGAGTGAGTTCCAGGACAGCCAGGGCTACACAGAGAAACCCTGTCTCAAAAAAAACAATAAACAAACAAACAAACAGCCAGATCTGAAACCATTTTATTTTGGTTTAGTTTTATTGTTTATTTGGTTTGGTTTTATAGATAGGGTTTCCCTGTTTGCCCTAGCTGTCCTGGAACTGGCTTTGTAGACCAGGCTGGCCTCAAACCACACCTGGGTTTAGTTTTCTAATTTTGAAAATTTGTATTTAATTCTTTATGTGTGTGCACATGTGCACTCACAGCATGGTATGGAGGTCAAAGGACAACTCTGTGGAGTTAGTTCTTTCCTCCCACCACATGGATCTCTAACATGAAACTCAGGTCTTAGGCTTGGCAGCAACCCTCTTTATCCAGTAAGCTATAGTAGCAGCCTTGGCTGGGTTGTGTTTGTTCTTAAGACCTGTTCTCACCTTGTGTCTGACTGGCCAGTGCTTGAAACCTTACTGAAACAGTTTAGCATCTAGGCATAAGTACTCACTATAACCCCAGCACTAAAGGGGCTGAGGCAAAAAAAAAAGATCACTGTGAGCTCACTATGTATCACTGTCTATCTGCCCCCGCCCCATTCACACACACACACATGAAAGTAGAATAAGTAGGAGTTTTTTCCTTTAAAAAGAGGGAAAAAAACAAGCAAACAAAAGCCCACCAGGCAGTTAGTTATAGGTTGTAGATCTTCTGTGTAGGACAAATGAAATGAAGTGAGTAAGGTACATGAAAAGTCACTCAGACACGACCTATTAGACAATAGGACTGCAAGTATAGGACACTGTGGAGCCAGGTCTCAAAAGGAATTGCACACCAGACAACACCTACTAAGGAAGAAATCATAGCTGGACCTATAAAATGTCCTTTAGGACCAGTTTGTGACTTGAGCATGCGGGTTAAGATAAATAAATACGATCAAGTTAAAGGAAGGATTTTTACTGTCATCTCAGCTAGTCCATACTAACAATGCCATTCAAGCTGGCAGACGGCCAATATCAAATCAGAACTAAGGCACTGTTTTGGTCTGAGAGCTGTAGCTAAGTGGTGGAGCACTTACACAGCATGTTCCAAGCTTAAGTACCATTAGACATTTAAGTCTTCATGAAACTTGTGGTGAACAAAAACTGAGTGAAACAAGCAGAGGGAAAAGCTTAACAACCAACTCTGGACACACAGAGCTGCAATAACACAGCTCTTTCTTAATAATGCACCTTGAAACCTGCTGGCACCCTGAGACATTCACCTGCATTCAGCTGCATGTATACCTGCTTTAACAATGAAAACAAGTTATTCATTTTAGCTATCCCCTGGCAACACCCTGTTTCTATTCAAACATATTATATGTCAAACAGTATCTGGGCCAATGCTGCCTGAACAGGTTGAAGGTACATAAGCATCAGGGCAAACTGTGTTCTCTGAGAATTCTTTTTTGTTTTGTTTTTTTTGTTTGTTTTTTTGTTTGTTTGTTTTTTGAGACAGCGTTTCTCAGTATAACCACTCTGGATATCCAGAAACTTATTCTGTAGACCAGGCTAATCTCACACTCACAGAGATCCACCTACCTCTGCCTCCCAAGTGCCGAGCTTAAAGCTGGCAGATACTCTTGCAGATCTTTTAGAAAGAATACCCAACTTACTATCTTATGTTTATGCATAATTGGACATACATATGATTAAAAACAGTTGCATCATGGTAAAGAACATGTGTAGTAGAGAAAAAGTTGTAACACCCAAACCTGTTGTTCAAAACAAAGAACCATCGTCATTAACATCAGCTATAACCAGCTCCTCCTTCCACCAAACTCCATAAAGTAAAGCCCTAAATAATAACCGAGGCCCTTCGGTACTTTCCCAGTCAGGTGGTCCCATCTCTCTCGGTAGTGTATCCAAATCCTAAACTTTTGTTTTGTTCTAAATGAATCTTACGCTTTACTATTTGTGTGTACATCGTGTGTGTGTGTGTGTGTGTGTGTGTGTGTGTGTGTGTGTGTGCGCGCGTGCACATCTTTCCAAGTTATGTGAGCAAGGTGCCTCAAAGTGGCCAAAATAATTATGCTAGGGCTAGAGAGACGCCTCAATGGGTTAAGAGGACTTGCTCTTGCAGAAGACCTGGATTCAATACCCAGTACCCACACAGTAGCTCACAACCATCTACAACTGCAGCTCTAGGCAAGCCAACATCTTCTTCTGGCCTCTGTAGGCACCAGACGTGCATGTGATGAACAGCAACAGAAAAGCCGGCACACACCTTTAATGCCAGCTCTTTGGAGGCAGAGATAGGTACATCTCTGAGTTTGAGGCCAGCCTGGTCTATAGTGAGTTCCAGGACAGCCAGAACTACACAAAGAAACTATGTCTCAAAAAAACAAAACAAAACCAAAATCAACAGCAGCAGCAGTAACAAAAAAATAAACTAATATAACATCTAAGTGAATTTTTTGAGCTAGGTTTTCATGTACTTATAGACTGAATTCAAAGTCACTCCGTTGCTAAGGATAACCTTCAACTCTTGAGTCTCTTGCCCCAGTCTCCCAAGTGCTGGTGTTCCAGGTATGTGCCAATACACCCAGTTTTTATTTGTTTTTTTTGGGATGTATATGTACTTGTGCCACATTGCACATGTGGAGGTCAGACTACAACTTGTTAAGTCACGTTTTTCCTTTTACCGTGTGGATCTGTGGGACTCAACTATCTCATGAGCCTTGGCAGCGGGCACCTCTACCCACTGAGCCCATCACGCCTGGCTTTTTCACTAAGAGATGTTGGTATTACTTAAATTGTTATACAGCTTTGTAAGTGACCTACTCTTAATATATATACTACTTACTGATAGTCATCCTAGTTCCTGTGCCAGGATGTGACTTTAGCAACTGAGTGAAAACAGAGGGACAGAGTGCTTTCCTTTTCTTATTTACCGAACTCAATTATAGCTCCATTTCCTCTATTCTTTGGGATGCATAATCTGCATTCACACCTAACAATATGTTTCTTTTTTTCCTTCTTTATATTTAATATGGATGGGGTGGGAGGGTACATACAGTGTCCTCCTCTACTCTTCTTAGTTGTCTTCCAGATATAACTTAGTTGGTGAAGTACCTGCCTAACATAAACAAAACCCTGGGCTCAATTCCCAACACTGAACAAAACAGTATAAACTGTAATACCAGCAACTTAAAATTTTGTAGATATGACAGGATCAGGAGTTCAATCTTCATTGACATAGTGGGTTTGAGCTATCGAGGGATACATGAGACTATCTTAAATGTTTTAGAACACATGTAAAATTATCTGTAATATCTCACTTTAAAAGTCATGAACAGAAACCAGTATTTTCATAATAGTATGATTCTACCACTGTCAAGATAAGATTTATATATTTATATATTCGTTGTCTTCTAAACAGAAGTGCTATAGTTAAGAGATGTTCCTTGTGACCTAAGAATCACTTTTTAGTCTTGAAGAGATGGCTTAGTGGTTAAGAGGTTTTGCTGTTCTTGTAGAGGGCCAGGGTTCAGATCCCAGTATCCACAAATGGTTCACAACCATCGCTAACTCCAGTTCAAAGGGACCTGGCACCTTCTGATCTCCATGGGCACCAGGGACACACAAGGTGCATATACATACATGCAGGCAAAACACTCATCCATATAATATAAATAAATCTAAATGTGTGTATGTATGTCTTTTAAAGAATTGTTTCTCAAATCAAAAAAGAAAAATAAAGTTTTTGCCTAAACTGAAAAGAAAAAAAAATCATTAAATCTGAAGCAAAACAAGTAAAAATGCCTGAATTCCTTTTCCTAGAACCAGATTCTTTTGACTTTTTCTATTATTTCTAAGAAAATAATTAAATAAACCCCAGCAGTACTTTAAAATTCAATGCTAACTAACAGCACACAATTTATCTCTTCCATCTTTTATCATTTACCATGAAATGCTATGGTCTGAAGAAGTCGATCAGCCACCTCCTGTGGAAATACTCCAGGTTCCTGCAGACACAGCGTGCCATCTTGTCTTGCTGAACAGAACTTCTCAAGGTTAGTGGTCAGGAAACTCAAGCAGATGTCAAGTAAGGAATAGGGAGACGCCTCCTCCTTGGAACACAGGAAGAAACATAAAAGGAACACACACACACACAAAATGAACAGATTAGTTTCCAGAAAAGCAGAGACTAAACCATTTATTTACTCATTCATTGACTATTTGCTGCCTGGAGACAGACAGTGAATACTGTGATCTCAGAGAGCCACCTGCTTCTGTCTTTGGAGGACTAAGTTAAAGTTGAGAGGTGCAGTCACAAAGACAAAATTCTTAAACTATTGATTTTACATCTGAATCCTTCTCTGCTAACTAGTCTTAGATCAACCTGACACACAAACTAGAGTTAGCTAAAAGCACAGAACCTTAATTGAGAAAATACCTATGGAAGATCCAGCTGCAAAGCATCTTCTTAATTAGTGACGGTTAAAGAGAGGGCCCAGCCCATGGTAGGCAGTGCCATCCCTGGGCTGGTGGTCCTGGGTTCTATAAAGAACAAGGCTGAAAAAGCTACAGGGAGTCCACCAGGAAGCAGCACCCCTCTACATCAGCTTCTGCCTCCAAGCTCCTGCCCTGTTTGAGTTCCTCTCCTGACTTCTTCAATGATGAACAGCAAACTGGAAGTGTAAGCCAAAGAAACACTTTACTTCCCAACTTGCTTTTTGTTTTGTTTTGTTGTGTTTTTTTGAGACAGGGTTTCTCTGTGTAGTCCTGGCTGTCCTGGAACTCACTCAGTAGACCAGGCTGGCCTCAAACTCAGAAATCTGCCTGCCTCTGCCTCCCAAGTGCTAGGATTAAAGGCATGCACCACCACTGCCCAGCTGCAACTTGCTTTTTGGTCATGTTTCGTAGCAGCAATAGAAACCCTAGTTTAGACATCTTCCAAAACGTAATCTTACTTTACTTTTCAACTTAATTTCCTATAAAATTCTCACCAAAATCTATATGATTAAGTTATATATAAAATGATTTGAGTCAAGCATGGTGGCTCACACCTGCAAATCCAGCACCTGAGAAGCAGAAGCAAGGAAGATCACCAGGGTTCTACAGTAAGCCAAAAAAACCAAAACTGAACACAATGGAGCCAATGTGATGTGCATGCTTGAAATCCCATCAAGGGGCAAGGGCAAGAAAAATCAGGAATTCAAGGTCATCCTCAGCTACATAGTCTGAAGCCAGCCTAGACTACATGAGATTCTGTTTCAAACAAACAAAAACAAAAATGGGAATTTAGTGCCTGTGTTATATATCATCAAAAACAAAAGTACATTTAAGTTTTGTTTTTGTGGGGGTTTGTTTATTTGTTTTCTTGAGACAGAGTCTTATGTGTCTTAGACTGACTTTGAACTCCTGATCTTCCTACCTACTTCCTTCCTACTTCACTACAGGTGAGTGCTATCATTCTAGATTAAAAATAATAATAAAAAGTTTAAGCCGGGCGGTGGCGGCACACACCTTTAATCCCAGCACTTGGGAGACAGAAGCAGGCAGCTTTCTGAGTTCGAGGCCAGCCTGGTCTACAAAGTGAGTTCCAGGACAGCCAGGGCTACACAGAGAAACCCTGTCTCGAAAACAAAACAAAACAAAACAAAACAAAAAAAGTTTAACCAAGTTATTCTAGTCTGCCAAAAATCAGAATAAAGTATAAGGACTTTAGTAACAGAAGTAAACTTTTAAAATGTCCCCAATAATAATATTAAAATATAAGTATGCTGGGCAGTGGTGGTGCACACCTTTAATCCCAGCACTTGGGAGGCAGAGGAGGCAGATTTCTGAGTTCGAGGCCAGCCTGGTCTACAGAGTGAGTGCCAGGACAGCCAGGGCTACACAGAGAAATCATGTCTCGAAAAACCAAAAAAAGAGAAAAGTACAGTTATCCATCTATTATATTAGGTACTTTCTGTTCAATTGTGCCATTCTATAATTAACCACTATTTCCTTTATTCCTCACCCTCACTTAAAAACCCTTTTTACAGTATTTATTCTATATATATGTAAGTTTATTTTGTATTCCCTTGTGTGTATGACATGGTGTGTAGGTAGAAGTCAGAAGACAATTTCCTAGAAACAACAGGTATTACAAGTAACAAAACTGCTCTAACTCTTCAGTAGCAGACCTGGTGACTTCAGAATCTCTAAGTAATGAGGTCTGTGCTTTTGTCAAGTGCAAGAAGTATCCTTTAGGATGATGCTTAACACTGTCTTAGAAGGAGCAAAGTGCATTCAGATCCTTTGGTTCACTTGTCACAAAACCCTGATGAAGTAAACTGTAAAATAAAATACATCTTACAAATGAGGAAGCAACTTCTCCACAGGTACTGGGGTTGGCTAGTAAGACCAGGACTAGACTAGACTTGAACTGTAATCATATCATACTAAGCAATTCAACTAGTTATTCTGACCTCAGCTGTACACTCTCTCTGTAGGACAGGATAACATTAATACGTAGGATGCTGCTGTCAAGATGAGCAGTTTAAATGCCTGGTACAGGCCACTCAGTAATAAAAGCCCAAATCTCAGACACATCAGACAACAGGTTTACCCGGCAGAGGTGGTGCTCTTTTATCCCAGCACTTGGGAGGCAGAGGTAGGTGGATTAAATTGGAGGCTGGTCTTCAGAGCAAGTTCCAGGACAGCCGGGGCCATACAAAGAGACCTTGTCTTAAAACACAAAACAACAAAAGACACCAGGTCCTTACAGGTAATTTCTCAGGATAGAATCCATGTTAGGACTAAAAAATGTGTTTCCTATTATAATTTCACTTGTTGGTGTAAAAATATACTGCTGAAAAGCAACAGAGGTGGGAAAGGTTTATTTTAGTACACAATTCCTGATTTCAGTATATCACAGAAGGTAAATCAAGTTGTCAGGAGCATCAAACAACTACTCACACCACCTTCACAAGAGTGAAGAGAAATGAGTGCATCCATGTTTGCCCAGCTGCCCTTCTCTACTCTTGCAGAGCTGGGACCCACTTTCAGGCTGAGTCTTCCCAAACCAATTAACACCACCAAGACAGCACCCCAAGACAAGCCACAGGCCAACCTGATATAGACAATCTCTCAGTAAAACTCTTCCCTGGTGATTTTAGATTGTGTCAAACTGACAACTACATTTTTACCAGGAGTGCGGGTCCTTTAAGTTTCTGGCCTTACGTGGTCTCAGGTCTAATTCTAAGTAAGTTCAAGACATTTTCTCCTACCTGAAAGGTCCCTAAGGTTAGCAAGTCCATCAAAAGATAACAGTAGCACCACTAATGCCCCTTTCCTGTACACCTTAAAGATTTTTGTTAAACTGGGCAGTGGTGGCACACACCTTTAATCCCAGCACTTGAGAGGCAGAGGCAGGCAGATTTCTGAGTTTGAGGCTAGCCTGGTCTACAGACTGAGTTCCAGGGCAGCCAGGGCTACACAGAGAAACCCTGTCTCGAAAAACCAAAAACTAAAAACCAAAAAAAAAAAAAAAAAAAAAAGATTTTTGTTGTGTTTTGTTTTTAAGAAGTACTTTTATAAGCCTTTAATCCTAGCAAGCAGGACACAGTTTTAAGGTCAGCCTGATCTACAGAGCAAGTCCCAGTACAGCCAAAGCTACATGGAGAAGCCCTGTCTCAAAACGCACACTGAGAGTCTTTTATTACATTTTTAATTACTGTGCATGGTGCATATGCCGAAGTGCACACACAGAGGTCAGAACCTTGTCTTAGTCCCTGCCCTACTGCAGTAGAGACACCGTGACCAAGGCAACTCTTATAAAGCAGAGCATTGAATCGGGGCTGGCTTACAGGTTCAGAGGTCAGTCCATTATCATCATGGTGGGGATAGGGGCATGAAGGACAACTTTATGATAGAAATTATTATTTTATTATTTTATTTTAGAGACTGATCTCACTATATTAAGACTGGCCTAGGGGCCAGAAAGATGGCTCAGCAGGTAAAGGTACTTCCCACAAAGTCTGATAATCTGAGTTTGATTCCTGGAAACCATGTGGTAGTAGAGAGCCTACTCCTGCCACACTATACTCTGACCTCCATATTCCCACTGGTGAGGTACCCCTCATTCCAACTAACTAAATGACTTTTTTTTTTTTTTTTTTTTTTTACTAAATGACTTTTTTAAAAATCGTTTTAACTTTTAATTTTTTTTAAATTTCCTTTTTTTATATATTTGTCGTTATGTATGTTTTTTTGTCTACATACATGACATGTATGCTTCATCCCCACAGAGATCAGAAGAGGGCACTGGATCCCTTAGAATGGAATTACAGGTTGTGAGCCACCATGTGGGTACTGGGAACTGAACCTTGTTCCTCCACGGGAGTAGCTAGTGCTTAACTAAGCCATCTCTCTAATCCTAAGAGTGTATTTTTCAAATATTTATTTATTCATTTATTGAGAAAGAGAGAGGGAGAGACAGGGGAGAGAGAGAGAGAGAGAGAGAGAGAGAGAGAGAGAGAGAGAGAGAGAGAAGCGTGCGTGCGTGTGTGTGTGTGTGTGTGTGTGTGTGTGTGTGTGTGGAGTGCATCAGACCATCAGACCCCTGCAGCTGGAGTCCAGGGCTGTGAGCTGTCTGACATGGATGCTAGGAACCAACTGTGCTCCTCTGCAGGAGCAGTGAGTGCTCTTAACCTCTGACCTTCTTTCTAGCACATGTACACAGGGGCTCTTGCCTTTTTTTTTTTTTTTAATTTTAAAGATTTATTTTATTTTTGTGGACATGTACATGTCTGTCTGAATGGGTCACCTGTTCATGGATACCTGAGAAAGTCACAAGCCTGTTTGAGCTAAACCTATAGGCAACTGTCAGCGGCCTGATCTGAGTGCTGGGGGTGGAACTCGGGTCCTCTAGACTCCTATCTTCTCTGAGCCATCTCTTCATCCTACACCTCATCTAATTTAAAAAAAAAAAAAAAAATGGCCCGGAACATTCTATGCAGCTCAAGCTGGCCTCACTTTCAATCTTCCTGCTTCAGTTTCTGAGTCCTATAAGCATGTATCATTACATCTGGCTGTGAAATACATTGTTTGTTTGTTTGTTTGTTTGTTTTGTTTTTCGAGA